AAGTCCTCTTTATTGAGAGTAAAGCAATTGTACCCTGGATTCCAGAATTGAATTAGGGCTCTGAGTAATTCATCATCAACTTCAACATAGAGCAAATATGGGATGTCTCCATAAGTCTGATAAAACTGCAATTTTTTGTTTGAATCCCAACTTTCCCAAATGCTTCGCAAATCTTGCATATCATTTCTTTTTAGTGAAACTGGAGCATAACTGGCCAATTCAGATACATAATCATCCTGTAGACTGTCTCCTTCTTGTCTTTGTAAGTCCTCAGCCCACTGTCTTACTTCTGAGTTTAGAATTACTTGATTTGAACACTTTTTATCCATAGATGAAGGCTTTCCAATGAGACAATTAACACAAGGATCAATGCCTTTTATCCTGTATGATGCTATGCAAACAGAAAAATAAAGAACACACAAAAAGAAAATAAATTAGTTTACATAATAAAGAAATTTAACATTTACATAAATAATTTTTTATTTAAACATGCTTTAAATAATTTAAATATACATGTAATTTAATTAGTAAAGAAAATAAATAAACAAGAAAGTTAGAATTCATTTCTCCTGTGTGTACTCCTATTTTAGACAAAATTTCGGCATGACTTCGGATCGGAAGAATTTCTAAGGTTTTTTATATGCAGGGTTTCAGATCTAAGAATAAAGGTACCCGAATTGTCCTTGTTAGTGCCCCCTTGGGTTGCTAACCCTCAACCCTAGTCCATCACAGACTAAAATGGGTCGAGTTCAATTCGAGGGGATACATTTCTCTATGCCTGACACGGAGAATAAATTCTCACGAAGACATAGAGCATATGAACCCCGAAAGTTACTTGCTAGGTCTGACACGGAGAATAAATTCTCACGAAGACGTCGCTTTCACTCCCACTTAAAAGGGACAACTCAATTATAGAGCTTTATGTTATGCAATGCAAGTGTTGTGTGTGAGGAGAAATGTTCAAACCTCTGACAAAATAAATAATGAAATAAAATAATTGCAAATAAAATAAAACATATAAATATTATGAAAATATAAAAATTTTGAAAAGAAAAAAAATTAAAAATTAAGTATATAAATTTTTAATTTTTAATTAATAGAGACAATTTATAATTGATTTTTAAAAGTTTGACCGGTCCCCAGCGGAGTCGCCAAGCTGTCGTAACCGGTTTTCGTCCGGGCACGAAATATTATAATTGGCGGGGAAATTGATGTGAATAAATAATTTTGAAAATAATTTGTGAGTCGCCATCGACTTTTTGGATCAGGTAAGTCGAATACCTAAAAATTATTTTTTAAAAGAGTTTTAAGAAAACATCAATTAAAAAAATGAACTGATCTGCGTTTTATAACCAAAAATTCGTTCTTTTTAATAATAAAAAGGATTCGTGGTCGGTTACGTTTAGGGAAGGATTAGCACCCCTACAACGCCCAAAATTGGTACTTTTTAATTATAAATTGTCTCTATTTATTAAAATTTAAAAATTCAAAAATATATTTAATTTATAATCCTATTATTTCAAAATTATATAAAAAATATTATTTATTTAAAATATCAGAAAAGAACTTCTAGGTGCCTTAAGACAGCTCTTTTCTTTGATATTGATCAATATTAATTTAAATAATATTGTTTAATTTTAAAATATCAGAATAGGACATCCAGTTGTATTAAGACTGTACCGTTCTTTGATATTGAAAACTAAATATTAAAATAATTTATTTAAAATAAATATTTATTATTATATATTATAACAACATTTAAATATATAAACAAGTAAAAAAATACAATTCTAAATATATATTTAAAAGCAATAAAAAATACTTAAAATAAATGACTAAAATATAGTGAAATTAAAATTGACAAACCTAATTCATAATTAATCAGAATTACAGGGATTAATCATGATATTTTCTTATTTAATAATTTAGTGATTAAAATAAAATTATCTAAAATTCGGATATTATAATAAAATAAATTAAAAATATAAACTAGGGATTAAAATATTATTTATTAAAATTAAGGGATTAAATCTGTTATTTATCCTAAATATATTATTTTAATATAAAGGACTAAAATGAATAAAATTGAAATTCGAAGACTGAATTAAAAATATTATAAAATCGATTTAGTGACTAAAATGTAAAGTTTACAAGTTAGGAGGACGGCGGACGGGGTTTAACTATTATCTAATTACACGCATAGTCCTTCCCGAAACGACGTCGTTCGGAAAGGCCTATAAAAGGTCCAAAACGGCTGGCCCGAAGGGCCAACCTTCATTTCATTCTTTTTCTTTCTCTCTCAAGCAGAGAGAGCTCTGGCTTCTCTCTAGCTTCCCTCATCGGAGGGAAGCCGGTCACCGGACGGTAACCGTCTGCCGCCGTGACTGTCATCGCCGGCCACCGCATCCGGTGGCCGGAAAATTTATTTTTACACCATTAAATAGATCGGGACGTCCTAAGGACGTTTCCGGTGTTCTTTTTCTTTAAAAAGCTCCTAATCGGAGCGAATCTACAAAAGTACCTTCGGTGTTTCGAAGGTTCCGGTGAGATCCGGTGGTCGGGGCTTCCTCGGTAAGTTTCTTTTCTTCATTTTTCCTTCTTTTCTGTTTCTTTGCTGCTGAGATCGTTGGTAGTATTTTGTATATATATATATTTTTTTCTCGGTTTTGTCTCTCTGGGATCTGTTTTCTGTCTTTTTTTTTTTTTTTTTCAGGTTCGGGTGGTGGCTTTTATAGCCACCACCGGTGTGGCCATCGGACCGGTCCGAAGAGGGGATTTCGGTGAGTCACCGGACTACCAGTGGTGACTCACCCCGTAGCCATGGCGTGGACGGCTGGCGTTGGAGCTTCTGGAGCCTTCGGTTGGGACGTGGCAGCGGCGGAGGCGGCGAGAGTAGCAGCGGCGGCCGCGTGTCCCTAGGGTTTCCATCTGGAGCCATCTGGACCGTTGGATCTTGCCAGATCCAACGGCAGCAAGCTGAGGCGGCTGGGATTAGGGTTATGAAACCCTAACTGAAACCCCCAAATGTTTAGGGTTTCTGGTTGGTCTGGACCGGTTCTGGTTTGTTTGTAACTGGGCCGATCCAGTTGTAATTGGGCCTGTAATTAATTATTTATATATGTATTTAATATATATTTAATAATAATAATAATGATAATAATAATAATAATAATAATAATAATAATAATAATATGGTAAAAAATTAGTATCTTCAAACGTCAAAAGATATGCTCGAGCTGCATATATCACCTCTTGCTCCGTTGATTGTTCATCTACTCTAAATTCTATTTCCAACCATGTCATCCTTACCCGCAATCCATCAATGACATCGGTTGGAGCCTCATTTCCTAATAAATTTGAAATAACATTATTTACCAAGTGTTGCGAAGCACCAATGGCATACCATTAATCGGAACACCAAGTTGATACACGACATCTTCCAAAGTTATCGTCACTTCACCACAAGGTAAATAAAACGTCTGCGTTTTGGGCCTCAATCACTCAATCAACGCCGATATCAGTGCCGACATCACCTTAAATCCACAAAGAAACATCGCTCCATATAATCCGGATTGTGAAAGATATATCACCATCCGCTGATGTGGCTCTTCATTCGTCATTCCTCGATGACGAATGGTTCGTTCTTCTCGCTACAATTTGAAAATAAATTATTTAATACAATTACACAAATAAATATTATTAATACTATAATTTTGTCAAAATAAAATGAAATAAAATAAATTAAACTTACCGTTGTCAACTCGATCGACATAACATTTCTTCTCTTGAGGTTATTTCAACACAAAAGTTTTTGCTCTCAGTAGAATGTTTGATTACAAGTGAAAAATTTATCTAACCCAAACCTCTATTTATACTACTCTACCCAACATCTAGTTTTTCAAACTGAAAATAATCATTGAAACTCGTCACGCCGGCGTGATGAGTTCCATGGGGGCTGTTTAATTTACCGTAAATCTCAAATTAAATGTTTGAGTGCCCTAATGGGCTAAATAATTTTCTTGGGTGCCGTAATGGGCCAATTTGGCCATATCTTTTCTTCTCTTTCCAAGAAAAAGCCCATTTGTCTCATTAGATTTCTATGTTGAAGCTTGGCTACCATCACGACCTCGTCTTTAAATTCCTCTGCACCTTGGCCTGAACCTCTTGACAGCTATTTCTTGTTTGTTAGGAAGGACACCCTGAGCATATACAAACCACTCTCCAATCATCAAATGCATATTTAGATTCATTATTCTTCCCCAACCATCAAAAGCTTTTTGGATTTAGGATATAGAGTTTATGATTTAAATAAAATGAATATAAAAAATTTGATAGAAATTTTAAATATTGATAATTTATTAAATTATATTAAATTAGGAATAATTTGATAGAATGCGCATAGTTTGGGGTCTAAAATTATTATTATACCATGTTACATTGTCATTTTTGTTTAAATCATTTTGGTATATTGAAAAGGTTTTATTTTACTCTAGTTATTACTTGGTCGATTTATTTTACATTGATCTCCAACGAGAACAACATTCTTCTCAACCATTAAAGTCCCTTCAAATTAATTTCAAGTTCGTATTAAATGAATTTAAACTGTTAATTTTTTATGATAAAAACAGGGTTAAGTTGGATTTCACATCAGATTGATTGGATTAAATTTTGGCCTAGCTTGCTAGCGTAAATATACCTTATAAACGTCACCAAAACCACCTTGGCCTAGCTTGTTAGCGTCTGAATAATTATCTGTTGCGGTTTCAATTGTGGTAAAATCATACTGCAATGCCTCTACAGTGGTTATATCATACCCTGCTGCATAACCGAATAAAAAAGAGTGTCAATTTCTTGGTGCATGTGAAACACAAGGAAATAAAAATTGTTATGGCTGAAAAGATACCATTTTCTGCCTGGATAGTATCGTACTTCATCTTTGCTCTCCTCTTTTACACCCAACAGGCCAGGAAGAAAGCAAAATGACGAGAGCAATTGGAACATCAATGGCAACAATAATTGGCCACGATCTTCGGCCGTTCCCCTTCTCTCCTGGAGATATAATATGCACCGGTTATATTTGTAAGGTCGAAAAGGGTACACCTGGAGAACAAAGAAAAAAACTTATGAATGGAAAGTGAGGATATACTTGGAGCTGGAGGGAGAAGGTGGAGGTGCAACTCCTGTTTGATTATAGAAGGGGTAAATTTCATATCTAACGTTGCAGCTAGGACTCAGTACTCTTCCTCCTCGGCTTCTTCTTGGAAGTCTTTCTGTTGCGAATCGCAGACATCTTTTGCAATCCGTGCTTGACAAATCCGGTGTACACTGACTGAGGCTGTACAGTGTTTGAGCACCTGATGATAAATTGACTGATGTTGCTCTAGCGGCGAATTTTTCAGCACCCGGTGGTGTATTCGCGGCAAGGGTTGCTGTATCACTCATCGTCGTTATCATTTTCTGGTTGAAACGGTCTCGATCAGTCTCAGTGATATTCTGAAGGTTAAACAAGGTTACTGTAGGTTGTTCGGCCTCGGAGGAAAAGATGTTTACGTCCGAGTACCGTATTAGGCACTCGTCGTACCAAGCCACCGCCATTATTTCCACGGGACAGAGTCGGGAGATGTTGGTGGCGGCAAAGGTTACGCACCCTTGGCAGGCTTTGGCCGAAAGTTCCCCATAGCAGGGGAAAAGACCGTAGACCGTTTCAGGGTTCCTGCCAGCAATTGTGTTGTAGAAACCATCTCCACGGCCGCCGTTTAACGACAGCGAAGCCAATAAGCTGTCGCGATTAGCTCTGTAAGTGCTATTTACGGGGAAAGTGGTAGTGTTTGGTAAAATGTGGTAGCGATAAATACCCTGCTGAGCTTCAGTAGCAGGGCTAAGCAAAACAAGGGCTATTACTAACAGCAACGGGTTCCTCAAAGGCTACGAGGATACGCATTTTCTCACTTAACATGAAAATAAGTTTCTTCCTTTGAGCTTGGAATACCATAAACAACTGAGGACTGATTTATAAATTATGAAATTATGACACGGGTGGTTTTAGTAAGGGCCGAAGTTGCCATCATAGAAGGTTCACTGATCCTTACAAAAAAATCTGAGTCTAGCCAATTGATTTTCGAGTCGTTTGATTGGGACAGATGAATAATTTTCAATGTGGCAGCTGGATACGTGATTACGTCCGAGACGGTGAAAGCACTCCATTTCAATATGATCGAAACATGATTTTAAGAATGTCTGTCGGTCTTTGTGTGTCTTTTGGTTCTTTTTTGTTTCCAAATGGTTGATGGAGTTCGCATAAAATGCCAACCAAGTTTGCTGGAAAAGATGTTTAGCGTTTAAGGCATTTGAATAATTTCATGGTGACCGTTTAACGCTTTGACAATTACTAAGGTGCCTTGATTCCCACGGCATGCATTGACTTGGTCTAATCTCTAGATATATATTATTCTTTCCAAGCTAACTCGTTTCTTTCATTATAATAGACTTTTCCAACAATGCTATGTTTAATTTTTGTGGTGGAGAAATGGTTAAGTTGTCGTCTTTTCGGTGTCGGAAAATAATAACAGTAATAAAATAAAATTTGATTATACAGAGAAAGAACCATTGTTTGATGTAACCCTCGAAATGAACAATGTCTACGATATTTAGAGACTGTTAGAAATCAGTTAAAAATTAAGGCTTAAATATAAAAAAGATGTCTAACGTATGTATGTTTTTTCAGTTCAGTGCCTAACATTTTTTTCGTTCCAGTTTGGTGCCTAACGTTACATTTCGTAACTCAAAATGGGTCACGCCGTGACAGATCGTTAATTTTGGCCGTTAACTTATTCAAAATGTCACGTGGCTTATTTTTTAATATTTAAAAAATCTTTCTCTACTTCTTCTTCTTCTTCTCCTTTATCGTCTCCAGCTTGGGTTTCCAGTTATGGCGTGACGAACCGACAAGCAACGCATATTGTTTCTGCAACTGAGGCGTCGTGCACAGTCTACTTGAGCAATTCTCTTCGACTCCATCTTTCATTTTACTTTCTTTCATCAACTCGCGTATAAACTCATCGGAAACTCGTATTCTCAAACACCCGGACTCACTGTTTTTGACATGGAGATTTTTCATAACAGCAGCTTCAGGGAAGCAGAAGTGAACGCGAGGAGGAGGAAGAAGAAGAGGAATACTACAACCGCAGCCGCCGCCACGAGCAGCAAAGCTCATCATGCAACAACCTTCTCTGCGCCTTCGAAAGTGAGTTCCTCGGCCACAACTACTTTCTTCTTCCCCAACGCTCGATACTCGTCTCCACGGTAGGGCTCCTTGTGTATATTTAAGCCAAACAATGCTTAAATATACAAAAGGTGATATCATCGCATTGCCGGCAGGCATTTTTTAGAATATAGAGAACATTGAGAAAGTAAAACATGCTCTTTGGCATGCAAATAATGTTGCGGAAGACGGCTATCATATAAAGCAAAATCACAACTGATAATTTGAGAAAATAAAAATGAAGATAAAGAAGACACAAAATTTACGTGGAAACCCCCTAAATAATATAGGGTAAAAACCACGGGCAACGGTAGAAGAATTTCACTATGAGAAAATAGGAATTACAACTTCTCTCAATCTACCAAGGAGAAAACAATGATAATTCTCTCTTGATAAAAAGGAGAAAACAACTATCAAGAAACTCTCTAAATTCTCTCTAGTATTGGAAGAAAGCTAGAATGATTTGGAAGCTAAATGAGCTAAGGTATTTATAGTTGAAGCTTAAGGACTAATCTTATAAATATCCTAAAGTACAATGACTAAAATGTGTAATTTCGCCATGTCACTTTTCAACCATTATTAGTGCCAACTATGAACCATTATTGTTGCCAACTTACAATGCATTATGATCCATTATTATGCATTATGCAACTATTATTAGTTGCATGACAACTAATAATCTCCCACTTGAAAATTTAATTGGAACAATCATATCTTCACACCATTCTTTCTACCTTGTACCATCATGTTGCTTACGTCTCTGAAAGTCCACAAGAGGATCGACACCAAGTAAATTTATCAGCATTGATCGCTTTCGTCATGAAATCTGCTATGTTGTCTTTGGTATGATCTTCTGCATATCTACCGTCCCTTCTTCTACCTTTTCACGAATGAAATGGTAATGAACTCGTATATGCTTTGTCCTTGAATGGAATGATGGATTCCTTGCTAAATGCAAGGCGCTTTGACTGTCACAAAACAAAGAGACATACTCTTGATTGTGCCCAAGCTCCTCCAATAGCTTTTTCAACCAGATTGCTTCTTTACTGGCTTGTGTAGCTTCTACATATTCTGCCTTTGTTGTGGATGTAGCCACTACTGACTGCAATTTTGAAACCCAACTTACAACTCCACCAGCAACTTTGAACACATATCCTATAGTATATTTTCTTTTATCCAAATCCCATGTATAGTCAGAATCTACATACCCATTGATTAGTAAGTTTGATCCTCCGTAACATAATGCAACATTTGAGACCCCTTTGATATATCTCAAGATCCTCTTTATTGTATTTCAATGCTCTTTGCCTAGATTCGCCATGTACCGAATAACCACTCCCACTGCTTGTGCAATGTCTGGTCTTGTGCATATCATAGCGAACCTTAAACTTCCCACTGCTGATGCATACGGTACTCGAGACATCTCCATCCTCTCTTCTTCACTGCTAGGACTCATACTGGAGGATAATTTGAAGTTAATAGGAAGAGGGGTAGAAATTAGCTTACAATCTTGCATGCTAAATCGTGACAAGATCTTCTTCAAGCAATTCTTTTGTGAAAGCCAAATCTTCCTATTACTTCTATTTCGGGGAATTTGCATCCCTATAATCTTGTTTGCTGATCCCAAGTCCTTCATTTCAAATTCCCTAGCTAGTTGTGCCTTCAATTCTTTAATATGATCTTTGTTGGGTCCTGCAACCAACATTTCATCCACATACAACAGCAAAATAACAAAATCATTATCACCAGACCTCTTGAAATAAGCACAAGGATCTGCATTAAGTCTGTTGTATCCAAGGCACATAATGAAGGAATCAAATCTCTTATACCAACACCTCGGCGCCTACTTTAGACCGTACAGAGATTTGTTCAACCTGCAAACCAAGTTTTTCTTTTCTTTTTCTTCAAAACCTTCAGGCTGGAGCATGTAAATCTCTTCTTCAAGATTTCCATGAAGAAAAACTGTTTTAACATCTAGCTGCTCTAGATGTAAATTCAATATAGCACACATTGCCAAAACTACTCGAACTGTTGTTAGTCGAACCACAGGAGAAAAGATTTCATTGAAATCAATACCTTTTTTTTGAGCATATCCTTTGACTACCAGTCTTGCACGATACCTCTCAACTTGATCGTCACCATTTCGCTTGATTTTAAAGACCCGTTTGTTACTAATTGGCTTCCTTCCTTATGGTAGTGGCACAAGGTCCCATGTATTATTTTTATGAAGAGCTTCAATTTCTTCTTGCATCGCCATCATCCATAGTGAAGCATCTGAGTTGTTTATTGCCTCCTGGTATGTTGATGACTCACCGTCCTCTGTTAAAAGACAATATACAATATTTCCTTCTATAACATAATCTAAGTTCCAATTGGGACGTCTTCTCACACGATCTAATTGACGAGTTGTTGGAGCTTCAGAACTCGTTGAATCTTATTCATCATGTGCTGGTTCTGCTTCAGAAGAATCTCATTTTTCAACATCATTTTCCACATGTATCTGTGTAGTCTCTGACTTTTCAGCGCTACCATCTTCTTCTTTTCTTTGTAGTTTATCTTCTACAAAGATAACATCTCTGCTGATTTTCACTTTGCTGGCAGTGGGATCCCACAAGCGATACCCCTTTACACCATCAACATACCCCAAGAATTTGTATTTCCTGGATTTTGGATCCAGTTTTGAGATTTCTTAGGAGTTGTACATCACGTACACAATACTTCTAAATACATGGAGGTTTGAATAATCAGCTGATTTACCAGTCCACATCTCCATTGGTGTCTTCAGCTCTATTACAGTTGATGGAGCTCGATTCACCAAATAACAGGCGGTATTGACTGCTTCTGCCCAGAATGATTTTTCTAAGCTTGCATCCCTCAACATTGCTCTTGTTCTTTCTAACAAGGTTATGTTCATCTGCTCTTCCATTCCATTTTGTTGAGGAGTGTTCGCCACTGTGAACTGTCTTTTGGTGCCTTCTTTCCTGCAAAAGTCATCAACTTCTTCACTTGTGTATTCTCCTCCATTATCTGTTCTGAAACACTTGATCTTATTTCCAGAATCAAGTTCCACCCGTGCCTTGAAGTTTTTGAAAGTTGAAAACACATCTGACTTCTTCTTAATAGGGTACACCCAACATCTCCTGGAGTAGTCATCAATAAATGAGACAAAGTATTTTACTCCGCCTAGGGATGTAACTGGTACTTGCCATACGTCAGAGTGAACCAATTCTAGAATACTTTTTCCTCTAGAATTTGATTTGTTGAATTTCAATCGGTGCTGCTTACTTGTTATGCAATGCTCACACAAAGGAAGTGTTACCTTTGTTAAGCCTGGAAGTAGCTTTAGCTCCACAAGGACTTTCATTCCTTATTCTGACATGTGTCCACGTTTCTGATGCCATAACATTGCAGAATATGAACTACATGAGGCAACAAAGGCTTCTGCTTCTAGCAAAGTCTCTCCCTTCAGCATATACAAGTTTTGCTGCTATCTTTTCACCTTTCAGCACCACAAGCGCTCCACGGAACACCTTCATGATTCCTTTCTGTGTTTCAATCTTGCTTGCATTATTATCCAACAATGCGTAGGATAATAAATTTTTCTTCAAACTTTTCACGTGCTGCACATCTCGAACAACTTTAATTGTTCCATCATACATCTTCAATTTGATGGTTCCTACGCCAACGATCTATAAGGCATGATCATTATAACTATACACATATCCTCCTGA